AAAAAAAAAAAAACAAGGTGAAGGGACTTTTTACCACTCATGGTCTATTCCTTCCTATCGAGTGAATTTACATCTGTCACCCTTTCCATGTGTTTATATATTATAGTGGAGCCATGCGAGATAGAAATATTTCCGTTCATTGGGCAATGCAAATTATTACCAGAAAATGTGCATTAGTCGTTATGAACAAGTGGGGTGTGGAAGTAGTAACGTAACATATGACAACATCGCACAAGCGTAATGTGGTAATGTGACACAAATGTTAACTCTACCCGGTCCGTTGATTAACAAACTCGTTCAGTGTTACATGCGCACTTAATTAGACCGTACATTATACAAATTTGTTACATTTAGAATACTACGTGTTATTATGCACTTGCTACCACACTGGGTTCTATGCGCATATCGCAACCGCATTAATTATTTTTAAATGAAGACACACACACACACGCAAAAAAAAAAAAAAAAAAAAAAAAAAAAAAAAAAAAAAAAAAAAAAAAAAATATATAAGAGAAAGGAGTGCAAAGTTTATATATGTGAAAAAGGGTAAGCAGTCAGCGGGGTGACCTTGCGAACATGCCTTTTTACCTGCACATGCATATGAGAAGATTTAACAAAATCGTTTACACGAAAGGTGGAAGTGGCACTGTTTGTCCTCTTCGATAGGTTAACACCATTTTAATATGGACGTTTGAAGGAAGTAATTTTTATATGAACATTAAAGAGTAGTTAAGTAAACATGTAGAAGTATGTGTCTTCAAATGCACTTTTTTTTTTGAAGGGCATAATTGGGTATGAGATGGATTTGACGTGCACTGTGCGCCTGTCAGCATTTGTTAGTGTAGACTACATGTGTGAAACACATGTGTGAACCACATTTGTGTGCGTTTTTTTTTTTCCCTTTGTTTGAAGAGTGAGAAAAAGGAGCGGATTTAATATACAATCAGGTGAATGGACAAACCTACTTCCAAATCCTCGTTTTCAATTTTGAGCAGACTTATATTTTTCTATATCATGTGGTCACGGTGAAAAGGAGGACAGGTTTTTGAACTGTTTATGTTATGCGGAGGTTACAATAACGTAGCGTTGGTTCAGTGCCCCGTTTGGACGACTTCCCCATTTGCAGTTTTGCTGGGGGCAAGTGGGGTGACGCGGTGTTTGTCTCTTTTGAGCACCCCTTTTTTTTTTTTTTTTTTTTTTTTTTTCATTTGGG